AAACCAAAATATACTTCGTGGCTCGAGCATAATGAATTATTTTTTCCGGAAGATATTAAAGACCAAACTAACGATATTTAATTATATATTAATTACAAAAAGGTATTAGTAGGCTCAGGAGGCCATGTATGTTAATCTATGCTTTATATATTTGATCCTGTTTTACAAATGTTTTATTAATATCAATATACAATTATTTTGATACATAAATGAATATTAATGTTATTTTAATTGAAATTTGATTGATTTTTATTTGCTAAAGGGGACTCGAAAAACCATTTTTTGGGAATTTCCGTTTCTGTAAAAATGACCCCATATCTTGAGGTCTGTTGATACCTCTCTCTCACCCTGGACATTCCCGCCCAACTTAATTCCTTTTCACTTTTCATTTACAATGCGAATTGTATATTTAAAGGACAAGTTAACCAAAATAAATTTTTATCATGGTTTAATATTTTAAGTTAGATTTAAATTAATAAAGTATTTACAAATAAGTTATTACATTTTTTATTTATTGCATAAATTATTTGATTTTGAACAATTTATTTATTTCAATTCTATTAAAAAATAGTGGTATTTTTATTTTATAATATTACAATGTTTTTGATTTCCTGATAAAATGTTTAAAAATAAAATACCTATTATTTATGTTAGCACATTAAGACTAATTTTAAGTTTTCTTATATATTTAAAGAATGAATAATCATTTTATTCATTAAATTTACATTGAAAATATATATTCAAAAAATCATTATCGGTAACGTTCATATTATTGTTACATTCAAACTTTACACAGTTTATATCATACAATATATTTGGATTTTTTATCTCTTCCAATAAAAGGGTGCAAGTAGGCCTTTTAACATACCTAAAATGTGTCATGTCATCCACTAAATGCGATAATCCTGGGTATACCGTCAAACTATTTTGGTCAGTATGAATAATTTTTAAAAATAGAATACACATAAAAAGCTTCCTCTCACTTATTAACATTGTAATTGAACAATTCGTCCACAAATGTCCCAATGCTATAAATATCAGCTTTTATGTTATATGGCCTACCACTTGATACTTCTGGGGCCATGTATTTTTTTGTACCAACATCTCGAGTATGTAATTGTGAGTCCGACTCGTGTAACTTAGCCAGGCCAAAATCACCGAGTTTTACACACCGTTTTTCGGAAGAATTTAGCAATATCAAAATGTTTGTTGGTTTAAGATCGCGGTGAATAATTTGTGGTTCTTGTGTGTGAAGGTATTCAACGGCTTCTAATATTTCCTTGAACAAATGATACGTTATAAAATATTCCACTCCCAAACCCACTCCACCATTAGGAATGGATCTGAAGTATGTCAATTTCATTTTCATTAGTTCACGCAAGTTGAATGTACAGCATTCCATTTGAATATAAAGTTGAGGTTTGCCACCCGTTTCATATGAAGATTCCATCCAGGCATCTATGTATTTAACTACATATTTGTCTTTTGTTTTGGACAGTATGTCAATCTCACGGTGCTCGATTTGGCGATCTAGGAAAATTGAATAATCTTAGGATAAATATTTATTTACATTATCTAGCCGTATCTTGAATAAAATTGTAGTGGCTTACACAATTTATGTAATGTAGCCTAACATAAAGTAATTTTTATAATTTTAATTATTAAGTAGCAAATAGTTTAAAAGATCCGTTGATATATTAATAACTTTGTATGTAATTCATTGTCATTAAATATTATATTAGCCATTGAACTCTAATAAAATATTTTAATAAATATAAATTTTGCAATTTTAAATTAAAATCCCTTAGTATGATATTATTTAACTCTATTCATATTTATTAATATTATAATTTATAATGTTTAAATTTATATGAGACGCATCACGCTGTAATTACGTCTGCCATTGAATTCAAACTGTCATCGATGCTTTATTGAGTATAATGTTATGCTCATATTTAATTAATTCGTCATTGACTTAATGGCATACATGGCATACAAAAGTGAGAGAGCAAGTTATATATTAAATTATTATAAAATATTAAATTATTATTAATTTTATACAAATATATTCATGTATACTTTAACTAAATCAATTAATAATTTAATAATTATAATTATAATCACATTATAATAGCTCTCTCTCCCATTAAGGACCACAAAATTGGGAGAGAGAGCTATTTATTTGTGATTGCATTTATAATTAGTAAATTACGAACTAATTTATTTATATTACATTTAAATAAGTTTGTATAAAATTAATAATAATTTAATATTTTATAATAAATAAATATATAACTAGCTCACTCGCTTTTTTATGCCATCTATGCCATGTATGCCATTAAGTCAATGCCAACTAAAAGTTAATACAATTGTATTAATAAAGTTAATTATTATTGTTTATTATTTATAATAAATTAAGTTTAAAATATCTATTAAATTTAATTAAAAGAAATAAACAAATTTAATTAAAAATTAAAAGGAATTATTCAGCATGCTCCGTCTCATATATTGAATAAATCACCTTCAATTAAAATCTTTTTAATCGCGTAAATTATTCCATTTTTTATATCCCGTGTTTTATATACAATTCCAAAATTCCCTGAGGCAATTTCTTGAATAGTCTCAAAATCCCTATTGCATTTATTATCATCTATTCGTATATTTTTGTTATTTTCCATTGTTTATAATAATCACATTTATTGAACACACATAATATGTCAAATAATTAGTCTTCTTTAATTCTAATATAATTTTTAAATAATAATTTACATTTCACTAATAACTGAATTTTTTAAATCGCACAATTTTTAAGAATTACAAAATGTTAAATCGTTAATAATCACTGGAATGTATAATATTAATAAAATACCTGTGCATTATTACCTAAGCAACACTTGAAATTGATTACCATTATGATTATTGTTATATTAAACGAATTTAACGCATAATAATAAGTCTATCTATACCACACTATCATTATGTCTATTAACGCATTGAGTTATTAAGGCACTGACTTAAAGCACTCGCCATACCTTTATAGAAAAGTCTGTGAACTAGTTTTATATTAATATTTTATAAACGTATTTAAATATACTACACTCATGAGCAAGCAAAACTACAGTCGGTTTTTGGCTCATATCTCTTGAACGCGGAATTGGATTTCAGATCTGACCTCAAATTCAGAAACTAGAATAAATGAACAATTTTTTGGTATATAAATTTTAACTTACCCGGTCACATAGATATTTAATGTTGAATATTGGCAAGAATATTTTCGGAATCCTTATGTAAAATACATGAGGGTTTGGTGCCATTTTCAGTATTTCGGTTTTACTTTTAAAATATGAAAAATAGCTGTAGCCTGACCATTTCATATACGATTTTTATATTTCAATACGTGCTAATTAGTTTTTAAATTTTCCTAAATTTAAAGTTTTAACTTTTTAACCGTGGGTCCTAGAACAAATCTGTAAACTGCAATTGAAAGAGCACAAAAATCTAGTCTAGTTAATTTTATTTAAGTTTTATAGGTAAATATTTTCACTTAGGGGTCAATTAACAAAAATTAGATAACTACTAATAACAATTTAATTATGCACTAATAACCAATATTTGAATTAATATAATTATAGTTTTTTTTGAATCCATAGGTTATTAATATATAGATCAATAGATTGAAAGAGTGCTTATTGTATTAGTTATAATAATGAAATATTTTTTGTAACTCATTCAATACTTGACAATAATTCCCTGATTATTATATGAAATAAAATTAATATTCGAAAATTATGTATTAATATAAATTATGTATTAATATAACTAAAATAAATAAACTTACTTATAATCATTTTTAATTTATTAATAAAAAACATGTAATACAAATTAAATTGTAGTTTTATATGGAAAATTATTTTAATTGTTGTTAAATAGTTGTATTTTGAAAATATTATTTAATATTTAATTAAGTCAAGTATTTATACTAAAGTATATTATGTGATATAATATTTTATTTTTAAAATAATTTTATGAAAAATTAACTTTAATTATGGCAGATTTTCAAATACTTGAAATTATATTGTCAAGTATTACCCCGTCCCTTGATACTTGACAGGACCCTCAAATACTTGAATGTCAAGGTGAAATACTTGACAATGGGCAGTCTAAGGGTGAACCATAAGTGGACAATTTATAAATTAGATATAAAGATTTCATTTTTTGAACATTTTGATGTATATATTGTCTATATTTGTCCACTATAAATATTTTTAATTTAATCCTACAATCTTTGGTTTATAAGTAATCACAGTTTTGTAACCAAGTACAATATTATGGCATTAACTAGTAATATATAGTCACTATAATTGATCGATTCAAGTGGTATTTGTTATTTAATAATAATAATAATAATAATAATAATAATAATAATTTTAGCATTTCAATGTGCTGCATAGTGATAACAATAAATTTATGGTGTATAATTCTTAACTTTTTAATTGTACTAGCTCATTGAATTTACAATCAAAATACTTATTCAAAAACTCATTGCTCGTAACTTTAGTATCATTATTACACTCACGCCTAACCCGATTAATATCATACAATATATCAGGGTGCTTAATCTTTTCCAATATATCGGTGCAAGTAGGCCTTTTAACATACACGTACCCCAGCATCTCATCCATTAAATGAGTTAACCCTGGATATTCTGCAAATCTAAAAAATATCAACAAAAATTAACAAGAAATATTATATCTAGCTATTTGTCAAAACATACTTATTAATATCAATGTTAAACAACTCCTCCACCATAATACCGATACTATAGACATCGGCCTTTGTATCATAGTACCTCCCACTGGCAACTTCAGGAGCCATATAATATCTGGTCCCAACTCCGCGCGTATTCGATTGCGATGCCGACTCCTGTACCGTAGCTAAGCCAAAGTCACCTACCTGAATACAACGGTTATTTATTTCATCAAGGTGGACCAAAATGTTTGTTGGTTTTAAATACTATAGACATCGGCCTTTGTATCATAGTACCTCCCACTGGCAACTTCAGGAGCCATATAATATCTGGTCCCAACTCCGCGCGTATTCGATTGCGATGCCGACTCCTGTACCGTAGCTAAGCCAA